GACATGCTACAAACAAGACAACAACAATAACAACAAAAACAACGAAAGAAATATATATATATTAAAGAAAAAAAATAGATACATAGAAATAAATTGTTTCAATTTGTTAACGATATTTGTTTAATACGTATGTGCTTTGTTCTATCAAAGTAACCAAAATCGCATTTTTCAATAATTATTATTGTTGTTGTTGTTGCTGCTGCTGCTGCTGTGGTTTTTGTATAAAAAATAAATAAACAAACAAACAATTTTCATTTTTCTTAAATGTTAAAAGAATACATATATTCAATAAGAAATTTTTTTCCTGATTGGTTTTTTTCCTTAAATTTATTTTTTAGCTTTTTAGTATACATTTTTTTCTTTTCTATTTTCTTGTCTTTGGTTTTTTTTTTTTTTTTTGCCGGTCAGCCCAAAATCAACAGATTTCATCACATGTTATAAACATATTTATGTAATATGATCTTAACAAATAGATAGGCAGATAAATGGCATTTGGATAGACAGATAGAAGAAGGATAGGCAAACAGTCAACCGGTGAAAGTGATGCCACTAAAAGCAACAGTAATTTGCTGTTACTGCAATGAGGTGAGAAGTTTTGATAGAACTGCCGCAAAAATAACAGTAAAATGTGCTGAGAGAAACGGAGGCAAAGTACAGTGAAGAAAAGTACATTGTAACTGACTGAGTGCCGAGGTTAAAACGATAAATGAATGAATCGACGGATATTTGCAGATAGTTGGACAAAGACAAAATAAGACGATAAATCTTTCACTTCTTTACTTATTTTTATTTTTATTTTTAAAAAAACTGATAACAGCATCGATGGTAGTGATATAACACTGCTAATGATCATCGACAAAACTAATAGTAACAGCTGCTGGTAATAACACTAAGAAGAATAATATGATACTATAACCGTAAACGGTAAATTCCAAGAGAGCAAAGAAAAAAATATCAGGAAACGAAATAAACGATACGAAAATGAGATGGGCAAAATTTTTCCTGCTTTGATTTCTCTTTTTTTTTCTTCTTCTTCTTCTGTAAGCTGCGTTTTTTTTTTTCTTTAACGGTGCTTATTCAGCAAGCAGTTCATATTGTTCAGCTCCCTTCTCCTCTACCCCCCCGGTCTCCTTCTCCCAGAAGAAAGAAATTATTGCAAACTTTAGTTTGCTGCATCTTTTTTTCTGTTTCTTTTCAAACAAAAAATAAAATATATTCTCTTCTTAGTGCTCAACATCATTCGTAATGCAATGAACCAAAAAAAAAAAAAGCTCTTTTCTTCCTGTTCCTTTCCTCGTTTAGTTTCCTCTTCAAAAGAAATAGCATTTTTTTTTTTTTTTGGTCTTTTTTTTTTCTTCTCAATTTTATAACGCTTTTCTTCATATCGCTTACAAAAAAAGAAAACTGTCCAGACTTTGAAAAAAAAAAAAACATTGTTTCTTCAGCCAGCCAATTTCGCTTTTTTTTTTTTGCAAAAGTTGCAAAGTAAACCATTATCGACAAATACAGTCTATATTGATAATGCTGCTGTTGTTGTTGTCGTCGTTTTTCGTTGCTGTTACTGTCATTTGTTAATATTCTTCATTGAGAACACTGGTGGAGGTAAGGTAAAAAGATTAATACAAAAACAAAAAAAAAAAAAAAAAATCCATGCTTCGTCGTCTAAACAACAACAACATAAGAAGAGCAAAGAAATATTTGACCAGAATGGTACAGTCGTTTTCGACAGTGCCCAAACAGAAAACGGGATGTCAATGTCGGCAAGTGATCATCATCAACCAGCGAGGGTTCAGTTCAGAACGATTAGTTTGATAATGCTAAAAAGCAGAGCAAAAATAATATTGATTACCATACCGAAATAAACGTCAACTAAATCAGAACGGAAAATAAATTTCCCATAGACATTTTTCGGGAAAAAAATCTCGGTCATTCTAACGACAATTTTATAGGCCAAACTCACCGTACCAAAACTGCTTCCCACCCCCCTTAAACTGTCCAATCAAAATCCTTTTGCAATCACCTCATTTCATTTCTTCTTCCCTTCTCAAATTTTTTTTCTGCTACTGAAAGTTGCATTTCTTTCGCCTTCTCCTTTGCAATTATTTCATTTCAATGCCAAAAGTCCATAGAAAGTTCTTGTTCGCATTTGAAATTACTTCACCGAAAACCCAGGACCACAACACGTCAAGCTTAAATCTACAGTATTCGCCTCATAATACACATAAGACGAGCCATCAAAATCAGACGTAAATTACGAGCAAAAAACAAGTCACAAAACACAGTTAAATTTGGAAACATCACCACCTGCCACGAAGCAAATTTGAGTGAATGCTGCTTCATTAATCAACAACTAAAAAATACCAAAAAAACATCAGTCGTTTCAACAACTTTCTTTATTCAGACATTTTTTCAACTTCGTATCCATAAGCGAACTTGCCATAACCACAGATCGGTGACAAACACCTCCAACAGAGGAACAAGTACACTCTGAATGGCTCAAAATCAAATTAACGAGAGACGAGCACCCCTTAGATTAGTCCTCACAACAATATTTGCACATACCCGATCCATAAAAAGATTCCATAGGCAATAAGAAACCTCTCGTTTCTTAATATTAACTAAATTCAAAGATGCAAAAAATTTGAACTCAACAATCCCCTCTTCTCTATCATCAGAAAGCAAATATAATTTGAGTCTCAGATAAATATGCTTTGAAAACTTTAATCAGAACAAATTTGAAACGAACATTAACGAAAAAATTCCAACATGACACAGTATTAGAACAAGAATTGCAATTTTTTGAGAAGGGAAAAATAAAATTCTAACCAAGTTTGCAAAAAAACAACAGCAAATTCTTAGAACCACGGATTAAAATAACAGTTGAGTATAACAAAGAGTCGAGAGGAATTTGGAATGAAATAAGAATAAAATGATGGAAAATAGAAGAAAAGGAGCAATCATTCCAAGGCAACAAAAGACGAATAAAACTTTCTAAAAGGCCTCATCGAACGTCTTGTTAACAGAAAACTTTGAAAACGAACACAGTAACAAAAAATAATGAGAATTTCGATGAAAAATGGTAAGGAAGCCAAACAAGGCTCAAGACTTGTTTTATGACTTTCAACTTGCGTCAGATGAAGAAAAGGCTATTTCGGATGCATGTGATGCAGCAGATAATCGCTCATCTCTACTTGCGATTATCACTACCCACATCGGACGCAAAATTTAATCCAATCCGACGAGGTGGATTTACGTCACTGTAGGAATATTTGCCATTGTACTGGACTCCATTACCATACCCGTTCGTGAGATCGTTCATATGACTGTTTTGCGAGCGGTTTCCACCGCCACGTGAAAAACCATTTCTAGCAGGTCCTCGGCCACCTCGACCTGAACCCCTTTGTCCATACGCATTATTATAATTGCGTACTTGACGCCCGTCTTTTGTTACCCGTCTACGTTCATTACCATCTCTAGGCAAATTTTCTCGATACCGATTCCCTCCGCGAATTCCACCACGAGGTTTTTTATCAGTACGACTTGGAACCATACCCTCCACAAAAACATTATCATTCCCATCAACGTGCTTTTCAACCTTGATTTCTGAAAAAAATCTCAAATCAACAAGCATGTCAAAACAATGCGACTTTCTAAAACAGAAAAAAAAAAAAGATATCCGGCAGCAATTAAGTGCCATCTATATTTGATATTTTCTTAGTAAAACAAATACAAGAGGTTAAAATAAGCAAAAAAATGAAAAAAAAAAACCAAAATGAGAACTACAGCACGATGTTAAACAAACAAAAGTGGTTAAATCTAGCATAAAACACCTAGTAATGTTTGACATGAGTACAATACAGAAATAGTTTTGTGATACTGAGAGGGCTATTTGAGAATCACACATGAAGGTGAGTGATTCAATGGATGAGTCATGCATAAGCCGAGGCAAATGAAAAATGATACGCATATGGAAATGCTTAATCGCTCCTCACCAACACAAACACAAAAGAACTCCTCAGACTGTATCGCCTTATACGTTTACACAGCTAAACCACAAATGCTTGTCAAATATCAATATCAACAAACTCGCTCACAATATTATTAACAACCTCAAATGCTATTTACACATAAACACGTTAACAACCTTCACAAAACATTTGCCGCCATGGTTAAAGGTTTACGTCTTAGGACTTTTTGTCTTCAAAGCAACGACGAATAAAAAAAGATAACTGGTTTTAGCATTTGAGCAAAAAAGTGATACTGCACTGATTATTAAATTTAGTTTTTGAGATGATCTTTCCACTCGATTCTACCATTTTATGATGCACAAAAAAAAACTAAAAAAAAGAAAAAATTTTCTAGTTCTGCAACAATTTGGCACAAAGCTCATTTTTGCTCAGCTAAAAGAGAAAACAGATTAGGAAAGAAGCATCTTCTACAGATCAAGAAATTAATTGAAAATAAACGGCTGGAAGTAGTTTTACGTTTTTTTAACGCTTCATAATTCACCAATGCTACCAAAGCATAATTTGAGAAAACTGTTTAGAAATTCTAAAAAAGTCAAGATGAAAGAAACAAAAGAATACCTGAATTAGCTGTAGGAGTCCATGGAGCTGGCACTTCGTTCTGAATTCCATTAACACTGTATTCTACATGATCTCCAGTTGTCAAATCATTCTCGCCAACATGTGGTATAGAATTGATATGCGGTGCTTCATTAACAGCTTCTTCCACTTGGGCTGTCGCATAGCCTTCGTAACCGAACTCCGTAGTCGTTGCCTCAGCAACATCAGTTTCACTTGGCTCCTTTGAGACTTCGCTGTCGCCTTGGACAAATACAACCTGAAAAAATCTAAAGTAGTTGAGTTATCTGGATACCCTAGAATAAATTTCACTTTTCACGCTTCTTACCAAAAACCCACAGATACGTAGCTGTCGGCAAGTCAAGTAATTTTTAGAAGACAGAGAAAGATAAAAACGCCCGATCAAACCATCAAAAGTTAGTGTAAATGGAGAGTTCATAAAACTAATCAGAAGCACACGTACGCGGTTTATTTAAAAACTTGTGAAACAATAATGCAACCAAATGCAAAAAATGAAGAACTCCCATAGAAGAGATTAAGCTTTTACTACACTTTACTTGCCATTCATAAGTCAAAAATCCGCAATTCTGAACCCGCTAAACCTAAAATACCCTCGCAAAAAAAAAATAAATGAAATTGCTTCAGATCAAAAAAGTCCACAAAAGTACGTAAAACATTATATTTAAAAAAAAAAAAAAAA